AAACTACAGACTCTTTTAACCTATGAATACCGTAAACTCCGTAAAGAATAGCAGAAGCTTGGCAGCAGAACTGAAGTTCTAGTTGTTGTAATCTATACTAATATTATAAAGCTGAAAAGTTTGTTTGTTTGTTTGTTTACTTGAACGCGCTAATCTCAGGAACTACTGGTCCGATTTGAAAAATTCTTTCAATGTTAGAAAGCTCAAGGCTATATACCATCACGATACGAGTAATAGGAGCAGAGCAACAATGAAAAATGATGCAAAAACGGGTTTCCACGCGAACGAAGTCGCGGGCACAGCTAGTACATTATATAACTTAGATGATGACCAATTATAGGCTTAATTATTATAAATAACTTTAAAAAATCCAACTGCCTAATGTGGAAATCGAACCCACGATTATTATTTTAGTTCGAGATGCGACTCTTTTAACGTTAAGACCCGTTATGCTGCTTAAATTATAAAATTAAGCTAAGTACAAGCCTGCGTTTGGTCTAAGCATTATAGTAGGTAATTCAAACAATCGCACGTTTCAACGATTGAGTTTCAATTGAGTATTGAGTGTCAATCATTTCATAATACTAAGTGATAAAGTGAAAGTTCTTTGTTCTGAGAATTCGTCATCATCAGAGACATACTATATTTTTATGATTTCTATATCATTCGGAAGTTATTGCGTATGAAAAAAATATTTTATAAGAACCATGCTAAATTTTTACAATGTTTTTTGAAACAGAAGTTGCAAAACAAGCACAATAGGCACTTAAAGATTTTCAATAAAAAATATTTGTTTTGTTTGATCGTTAATTATTAAGATTGATATTGCACTTTACATTGAAGAAGTTGGATCATAATTTGTTATATTTAATAATGTGTGTAGTGTAGATAATTTAAGAAATAAATAATTTGATTTACTGCTTGAAATAAAATATTAAGATGTTACATTTCGCGCAAAATTTTACAACATTCAATGAGTAAAGCTAGTTTAAAAAGTGGATCATAAAGTACTATTCATTAGCCCTTATTAGGTGAACCTACCTAGGTACTTTAAAATGGTTTAAGCATCGATGTTGAAAAATAGAGCTTATGGCAATGACATAAGCTGCCACAGATTACTTTGATGTGCCGCGTCAGTACTTCAAACTGGTCAATTGACACTACCCAGTTGTTTCTAGTGCGCATACATCCGCTATTACGGTGTTGTCTGTGACTGTCACTTGACACTGCGATACCACGGTATCAGATGGTCGCTAAAACACCATAGGAGTGCCATTGTTTGCGAGTAGTCATGGGAATGCCCTGCTATGGGAAGGTGAGCTTGTCATAGTTCCAACGCATTATCGACGTAACTGTTCTCTATTCAACGAATGCTTAATTATTACTGGGAATACTAATGGTAATGAGAGATGCATTCCCGTAACCGGCTAAAATTAAAACATTTTTTACGCGTCACAACCTAACCATAAATTCTTTTTGTGGAAACTGCCGGTACAAAGATGACCGACTCAGATTGGAAAAGAATGGGCTGGAAAAGAAAGTTAAACGAGTATGTCAGATGTAGTGATCCTTGCTCTATAAAACACTTCGTCATAAAGATAGTTAATGTCTTTTAACTCCGTAGAATTCATAGTCGAATTTCTCGATCCAGATAAATCTGTAGATCCTAAATTTATTTTTCATGCTGTGGTATAAGGCAATGTCCAGTCCAGACAGAGAGCAGAAATAACAGGAGTAGCAGCGCGCGTTTATTTCCATACAAAAAAATTTCGCCATTTCCTGAGGGGGACGAGGTAATGACATTTGTGTAACAGCTGATGGCGCTGAGACACTATCGATATTTTTGTCGATGAGAATCATTGCTCTATGGTTCATAGTCTATGGCTCGTTTAAAAAAATGATATGAATTAATTTATTATCCTATGGGAGATTCAACATTTCAGATCTCTATTTAAAGGAAAATACGCAAAAGTTTGGCATTTCTTCCCTAGCACGAATACGAATTGTGAAAGTTAAGAGTTATATGAAAAAAACTAAAAAGTCATTTATATAGGCTCTTAAAAAGCACTTTTACACGTCCCAGTATTAACCCTACCACCATTACCCTACACTACCCATGAAATAGGTACCTAATATTCTTATATACCAAACGTGACCCACGGCCACACTCCCTTGGCAAAGGGGATCGACTATCAGCCTTAGGCCCGGTTTCCACCAAAGCAGAGCGGTACGGAGCCGAGAGATGTACGACGAAGCTGGCAGGCTATTTCCACNAAATTTAGTTTTTTGCAAATTTAGTGTATTAATTAATGTGAAATAAATAAAATAATATTTACCGATGGAATGTAATGTTGTCCTTTTCAAGATTTGATGTTTCAGATCTCTTCTTACAATTAAAAACACTGCAATTCACCATTTTTATCGCAGCACGTTACTCTTCAATAGTGACATTTGGAATATGTCATTGGTGGCGCTGCAACTAGTTTTTATAAACTGAGTGAACCACTGGTCTACTTACATTGCTAGAGGGGATTGCCTGTCAGTTCCACTCCTGTTATTTCTGCTCTCTGAGTCCAGATCACACCAGTAGTTCAGTTGAAATGAATGCATAGATACAACATTTTTATAGCGCCGGCTACATTCTAACAACATTCTCAACTACTCGAGGGACGAATATGGCAGGCGGCAAAAACGACAAAGTCTAATGAAAATATTTCTGCGTGATTGATTTAACCTGTGCTTGCGCACGGTCCCTTGAGCATTGTCCTGTCAAAATCTTTTAATTTATCGACATTTGAGTGTCGGGTGTTGCATCATTACTGTTGCTGCTATTGTCTAGAAATACCTAATTTCTTTATGAGAAATATTTTGAGCAATTACTTATTAAATACTGTGCCTAACGGGCGTAACAATTTTCAACGGCAGTAAATTTCAGAAATTCTTCCGAAACGAATGTTTTTTCACAAGTGAAAAGCGAACCGTTGAAGCTATCTGTTTAATTATCTATTCATTTTGCCTCCGTAACCTTCAGCAATTAAGGAAACTCGTGCATTTAGCGCTGCAAACTGATCTCGAGGAGATAACTAGCGAATCTTTATCAAATAATAACTGCTATGTGTATATTTTAAGAGGGAGAGCAAGCACTAGACAGTACAGTTTACCGGTCCGTTGAGAACAGACGCCTTCACAGCGAACACCTCGCGAGTGCGAACTGGCGACCGTGACGACGACCTTTAAACTTTTTAATTTTTGAAACAATTAAACCACCTGTGCCTACTTGCACTGGCTGAATACGAGCCAGTGCTTGCCCGCCATCGCTGAAAAGAGCGCGCGTTTTAAAAAAAAGAACCAAAGAAAAACAGTTTTCTTATCTGTGAAGTGATCGTATTTTTTTTGCAAGATAAAGTTAGTGCGCTAACTAACAACCTTATCGTCGTGTAAAATGTGTTCGTTATCTATTAATCTTTAATTAGCGGACATTGTGTTTGTTTTATGAAGTGATATCAACGATATTTCTTTGGTTTGCGGTTGCGGTCTACGTCTAAGGTAATTTTTCTGTAGCAACAAGACCAGTGTCACATTTCGACTTGCTACAAAATTATTTAGAAAACATCTGTTGATTTGCATAATCGTAGATAAGTGATACATTTGCATAATTATAGAATTAAATCCAATGTCATTACGAATTCCTTTTTATTTTCAAATACCGGTTAATTTGTTGCCTGTCGTTTGTCACTAGAAATGAGAAAGTTTGCTATGATAATTAATTTACGACGAATTTTTAATTGTTGCAGTGAGATAATTAATATGCATCTTAGGCATCTATTAATAAATTTCGAGTAGGTACTTAATATGAATTAATATCACAGTGCGGTGTAGCATATACAGTGCTAATTGATGATTTTCACACATGATATAGCATGACGAACAACGAGGGCACCTTGTTTGTATCTCTTGTAAATCTAATTATTTCGTTTTTTGTACATTCTATTCAGGGGTAGCATCTATTCACACTACTCGAGCAGATTTTTGTTCTGTGTTTATGTAGTTATTGCTTATTATTCACAAAAAGATCTATTAATTCTATCCACATTACTAAATATCCAGTTTATCTATATATATAAAAGAAAGTCGTGTTAGTTACTTCGCTTATAACTCAAGAACGGCTGAACCGATTTAGCTGAAAATTGTCAGGGAGGTAGTTTAGAGCCAGGAGAAGGACATAGGATACTTTTTATCCCGTTATTTATTGCCATTAAGGCGGAACAAAGTTCGCCGGGTCAGCTAGTAGTTTATAAGTAAAGAAAGTGGAAAACTGTTTACCAGTGGCCGCATACGCCTTATTTACACTAGTAGGTTTCAAATTTCACCTTTTATGTACAACGGAACTCGACAAAATTTATTCATGAATCAACAATAATAAATGTGCCCACGGAGTAAAGATTGGATTGCATTGTGTGCAAATGAAACCAACTAAAACGGTTGCCTTGGCTAATCTCAATCTGAAATGCATAACTTGCTGATGATAAAATGCAAGTAGCTGCAACTGTGCTCGTAAACTATCACAAGGTTTGGATTTTATCTGTCCAATAATTATTATTTTCAACTAGGTCTCAAGCTCAATACTATCTTTTGTTTCTTACTAGTCAGCAAATCTACAAGTCGTATTATCCGATTTACCATACTATAGAAAATTACTGTTTTTATTTAGTTATTAAATTTTTAGCGTTTAGAGTCGCATCTCAAACTAATTTGAAAATTATAAATAACTTGAAAAAGGCAGTTCGATTTTTTCAAGTTATTTATAATTTTCAAATACTGTTTTTATTGTTAAAATAATGATGACCTGGCATGAAATCAGTTTCTCGCAAAATTACATTCACCTTCAAGTTTTTGCCCTTTCCATACTTATTACCAACCAGTTATCAAATAATTGATCGTGCCATGATTCCCGCGAGTGGATGGTTCACATGATTTAACATCCATTTCTTTCTTTGCAGATCCCAATGCAGCCACAATGCAGACAACACGCGAATCGAGCCGACAAAAAAGATGCAACAAAAGGCGGAACTCTAGAAAGAAATCATTATCGCCGTCCGACTTGAAATGCACGCGGGGGGACACAAAATCCGATGGCAAGTTGAGTAAGCGATCTCTGTCCGAGGGGTCAGTGAAAGTGAAACATAGGAAGAGTAACATACGGAGGACTTTGACCCATCCTTTCACGTGTTCAGATGACATTAGGGATGTGGCGATGATCGGTGCGTTCAACCGAGAGGTTAAAGTGGAGGTGCCGCCTGAGAGTGACGAGTCGAACCTCCCCCCGACGAGTAGTGACAGGGACACGGAGGATGACGGACGAGTCCTCCGACCGGTGCCGCAAAGGCCGCGGTGGGACTCCGGGAGTGAGATGGATTCTTTGGTGTCAACCGTTGTGAGGAGGGCTTCGGCTAGACGTCGCAGGACGCCAGCAAACCCAGGTAAAAGCTTCTTCATCAGTGCATGTAATTTAATTTAATCTAGCTTAATCAACGAACTAATAGAGCGTTTTTCTACAAGCCAGTAATAGCGATGGCGTAAGTAAAGGCTTGACGAAATAATTTGAAATGTCAGCGTAATTTTGTTGGCTACATTTTGGTCATGCACAAATTGAATCAATGATTACAAAGCTGGTTCTAAATTAGCGAAATACTTTTCCCAAAATGTTTTACACATTTGAAACTGTTTGTTTGTTTTCAAACTGTTAGATGCGTCCTTATTGATTATTAGATGTGCTAAGGTTAGTCCTTCGTCGCAATTTTAATTCGCGTTTGTATGCTTTGAACGTATCATTTTATTGTGTACATTGTGAATCATTTCTAAACTCTTGAACTGACGTAACCTAACGGTCACGGTCTAGGTTTTATTTCTCGTCGAGTTATTTATTTTGCAACCTTAGTTGATAGTGTTGATACGATGAGGAAGCAAGATTATATTATCACGTGTTCTTAACGTTGTAGCTAGAAGATATGCAAAATATTGACTTTATGTGGAACTTCCAAGGCAATGAGCATTTACAACTCTAATAGGTGCAAATCTTGATTGGAGCGTGAATTATTCAGCGTTTAGTGCCCATAGAGCTAATGCAAAACCGGCAACTTTTACTTTTAACGATACCTGGATAGAAATGTGAACTAACTGCAGTCAGAACTTTCTTCCATGAACTAAAGCAGGTGTTAAGAAATTTAACTAACACTGAATGCCTTCAAAGGGTGTGGAATCTTCTCTTTAATTACTGTCATCACGAAATCTCAGAAATTACAAGTGCTGGAAGTTTCAAATTTTGCATTGGGGTTCATTTTAGAACGTCACCTACGTACCTACTCAGTAAGGCGGGATTTTTTCAAAATTAAATACCTAAGGGGGTAAAACGGGACCCACGTCCACGCGTAAGGGAAGGACTAAAAGACATTAAAATATAAGACACGTTATGTTACTCATAGACGTCGTTTTCCAACCATTAATGTACTAATTGAAATTCTATGCTTGTTGACATGATATTCATTATGTAGGAAATTGTCTCTCATGCACGTGACCGATTTCTTAACAAAATGAAAACGAAGTAGGTACACGCGTACTTCATATAACCATAATAGTTCTATAATAAACTAAAATAATTATGCAAATCACTACAGCATCCTTATAGAGTCCGTAATACTAGTCACATTATATATTTATTTAACACCTTCTTTAGGTATTATAGTTTTACAATAAACTATGGGGTAGTAGGTGTTAAACGACAGTCAGGGCCCTTTATCACATAAAAACGTATTTCAGTATTATGAAAACGAGACAAAGGGTCTCCCAATATTTTTTTTTAATGTAGAGGCAGTTGTAAATTAGCGACACCTATGAATTATGATTATGATGAAGAAACACTCGCTCCTATTTAAGCGTATGGTTTTTCTTGACTTAAAATAATTATTAGTTAATTTATTCATTACAAAAAGTTTACATTTGTTAAAGATTTAATTTTTTCAACGTTTTCGTATTATCTGTTAAAAACATTTTTATTAATACATGTACTACACTTTAAACACGATTGTAGAGACATCTACTGCGGTCACATAATAACAGTTGGCGTAAAATAAAGCATGTAGAATGCGCACCGTAGACTGCAGTAGTATTTCGTACCATAGCAAATAGCTAGATGGCGTTGCATGTATCGTAAGTGAGTTTCAGCAAGTACATCAGGTTTGATCTTTTTTCTTTTATTATAATTTTTTGCTCATTAGTTTCGATTTACCATTATAATGTTTAATGAATTTTATTGTCCTTGTTTTTTTCGCGGTGCGATATTTTATTGCTGTGCGTGATAGATGCCATGAGTTGCCCTAAATCTATAGGAGCCTATGCGAACTTATTTGCGGAGTAAATTAGAAAAATAGTTATTTGAAAAAAAAAATTCCTTATAAAATATCTATTTCAAAATATTCAAACTGTAAAGTCAAGTTTTAGCTTACAGCTATTTAAGCCTTTTCCATTTCATAGCTGGAAGGTACTATCAGTGAAGGGAGATGAGTTCATACGAAAGCTGGCAATAATAATGATGATGACAGTAATAAAACGCGTGGATTAGACGAGGCAGATACGGCGATAGTTACAACGGTTGGGGAATAATTATTTGAACCACCATAGTAACAGAAAGCAAGCCATGTGGAACTTGACCTTTTGGTAGAGAATTCCGTACCACGCTGTACCATTTTGTTGAATACTAAAACTCAGTTTCTGTTTTCACTGGGTCTTAAATGTTATTAAAACAAAACTGATATTTTATACCCGAATTAATACTGAAAGGCTATCTATAAACTGATTGATCTATGAATATAATGGTATATTATGCCTGACCACAGAATAAGTAATAGTACAGGTACAGAAGGATTACTCCGCAAGACGATTTAAATAAATGCGAGTCTTGCTGCGACGCGATACAGTAGAATTCAGCTCGCACAGCACTACGTACCTACAATTTTATTCACCTACAAGTTTTGTCTCTTTCTATCGCGTGCCTCTGAACTCTTCTTACGCTGTTAGGGTTGCTGTCTAGTGAAAAAATAATGAATCTACTTATTTGTAATGAGATACCTACGTATGTAGGTAAGTATGCATTCATTAAGGAAAACCTTGGGATAGGCCTTTGTCCAGCAGTGGACGTCATTTGGCTGAAACGAACGAACGCATTCTGAGCAGTAGTCATAGTAGGTTAGGTTCCTATACTATCCTAAGAATTATTGATTACCTACATGGCCAACATACCTTTCAGTATCTTTGGGAAGCGAAAAAAAAAAGATAAATCCGGTAGATTTCTTTTCGAATTTAAACACCCGAACGCCGCACAATATTTCTTTCTCTTTATGTCCATTTTTAAATAATACTTCGATCATAGAATTATAATCATACTACAACGCACGCCAGCGTCCTGACGGGCGCGCGCGTGACACTCGACTGATTAATACCCGCCGGCGGGGCGCTTCGCTGTAGGTAATTATCGGATGTACCGCGCGGAGTGAGCCAGGCCTGGCCTGACTGAAAGATTGTCAGAAAATAAGATTTTTTTTTGCTGATATTATCAAAATTGCATTCGGGCAATGTGTGAGGCACATTTCCCGGCCTTAGAGTATGTTTAGTGCTATTCGTTTTACTCTTCTTCTACGGAACTCTAAAAACTTATTGTAGTGACAAAACAACCGTCTTTTTGTGTCAAGTGGTTTGGCTATTGACTCCACAGCTAACTACTGTTAGTGAGACACACTTTACTAATAGTACAATAACGTGTTCTAGGCCTATTACCGAAAGAATTAAGGCCGAGGCTTCCAGTAAAACTGTTTAACTAAAACTAATTTAAGATAAATGGAAATTAGAGAATAGGTACATAGTTAACCTAACGGACTAACATGGCTTTATTGCTACAAAACCCTTAGTAAAAAAGTGTTATTCGTTAAAAGTGAGAAAGAAGAACTCAAGAGTTACGTGGCTTTTTCATTGGCGTAGGTACATGACTGTCCCGAAGTGGTAGGGTTAAAATTAAATTAGGGCGTTTTAAAGTGCTTTTTAATAATTAAATTATAATTGCACAAATAAATTACTTTTATCATTAAATGAAAATACAAACACGTGTTTTTTAAAGATGGCTGTAAAGACATATAACTTATACCACAGTAGATAAATCAAACAGTACGGAAGCTTCATACAAACGCTCGAAATCAGACTCACGCACACAGACGCACGCTTTACACGAGCTCTAAGCGAACCTCGCAGTCCATCCGTCGCGAGTGTCGCGCGCGTTGTTTTTAATAATAATTTTATTGCATGCACTGTCCGCTGTATTTTTAAAAACATGCCACGAGTGTATTGCGTAGTATACGGCTGCTTGAACTCGGCATCTTCAAAACCAGAAATTTAATTTTTTAAACTTCGTAATAATTTTGAATTGTAAAAGTTATTAAATATTACTTTTTAAATAAAGTGCTTACATCTGATTTAGTAATAGTTCTTTTTAAATTACGTAATTACGCTTTTTAACAATTTATGTGTTCTATTTGATAAAGTAATTTGCTCCGCGCGCTTTTGTACTAAGTGATGAACTGTATTTAAAATGAGGCAATAGGCTGTGTGAAAGTAAGTATCGGGTATTTTATTTATGAGAATAGAATATCTTCTACCGGCCTCTAATAGTACTTAATCAATTTATTCGATTATGTATTCGATTTTTATAGAACCTAATTAACGTTTTATTTTTTTGTTAACTACTTAGTCAATTAATTTATTCCATTAGGTATTTGATAATTAAAAAACCCTAAATAAACGTTTTAATAAATAAGTAAGTCACCTTATTAATTTTATAAAGATTAAGAGTGCCAACCCTAACACTCAGTTGAAGTGTAGGTATTTAACTCGCCGAAAGGGCTAAGTTTCCGTACTGCTTTAGCTCATATATCTACTGTGCTTATACTCTTCTCCCGTTTCCAATTTTATTAGCGTCTGTTATAAAACTACAAGAGTCGAAGAGGTTAGAGGCAAAATTCATTCAGGTACAAACCCACCGGATATAATGAGCATCTTGCTTGCTTTATGGCAGGAAGGAAGTCTCTTTCTACCTGCTAGGAATGGAATGGACGTCCTTTATTTGCATCGTTCTCTTATGTATTTCACTTTTTCTACTAAACTTTACCTACAATTTTACGTAGAGTCGTAATCTCAGCACACAAGAATTATTAAAACAAATTGCATAAACGATCTGTAATTTGTTAATTTGATGTAAAAACAGGTGTTAGTTTAACGAAAGTTTTAAAGTCATTAACCCAAAGACAAACCCACAAAATAGCGGAACATCACTCGTAAATTGGAGTCGACAGTTAAATTTTAATTACTGAATTGTCTGATGTAACGCTTTTACAATAGATTACCGTTAAACTATGTTGGACGGTCACTTCGGTCTGAT